CACACACAATACCTAGTGGCAATTTGTATTTCTGTAAGTATCACAGGAGGGCCTAAAATGCCCTCAATTGTAAGAGACACCATTATTTTATGTACCGCTAAGGAAAAAAACCCTGCCACTTACTATGATACAATGCCTTAAGGAAAATTCTATGCTATGCAATTATCAATCTCACCAGCTTTTGAAATACATTAAATTTATTAAGAAGTACTTGCCACTTATTCCTGATTCACCTGCACAGCTTGGTATGTGGCCGGCAATTCTTTCACAGGTATCTCAATATAGAACAACCAAAGCTAGCTTTACTGTGAAGATGCTTTATTTAAGTTCCATAAAACACTTGCATATCACTTTACAAGAAGATGTGGACAAGTGATCATTCTTCCAACAAGTATTTGTTTTACTAATATCAAAATTATATCCTATTACAGTTTCTGCTTTTCTACACATGTAATAATTTTATAATACAACATCTAAATATTGCATCATTTTTTTTAAAGAATTAAAAAAGCAGTTTCACTGAACATGGACAGGAGCACTAAAGTTTGTAACTCAAAGTTGTGATAATATGAACAACCATGATACACTGTGCCCATACTCGGACAATGTCTCCTATGTCACAATTAGTTCCTGACTTAGTTATTTCAAGACCCCATCAATTTAATACCCAACCCAATTTCAAAGGTGTTAAAATGTGAAGGGAAAAAAGTGTGTCTTAGAGTCAAAGAAATACATACATTTGCATAAGGCCTCACCGGTAGTAAATGCCACAAAGACCTTCATTAACATACCCAAGTCTTTGCTTACTCAAGATCTTTCCACATGAGTTTCTTGGGCATGGTATTTAATTAATGACCATTCTTCATATGGCTTATTCCTTATCATGCATCAGGTTCCCCCATTTAAATGCTCCCTGTTCAGTGAAGCCTTCTTTCTCCCACACTTAAAATAGGTTTCACAAAGAATTTTCTCTACTGAGTTGTTAATCAGTTGTTGTTAATCTGGTTTTTTTTATGTTTGTTTGTTTCGAATCTGATACTCACACAAGAGCATAAACTCCATGAAGACATGGGCTTTAGTTACTACTGTATTTTCAATGCCTAGCATGGTGATACTACACAATAAAAAAGAGGGGAATAAATAAAATTAAAATAACATACTTATATTGTATACTATGTGCCAGTCACTGTTCTAATCACCTTACATATATTAACACATTTAATTCTAAGCACATATACAAGGTATATACTACCATAACCAGGTTTAATAGAATAAACCCTAAGGCATGTAAAATAGTAATGTCCTCTAAATTACTGAGGGCCCTTTTACATGGTGGGTTTTAACAACTGTTAACTTGTACTCATTTAGAAATTAGGTGGGTATGGGCCTATCAGGTTGTAATAAAATTTTTTTAAAAAGAGTGTCAAGTATTTCATTTTAATTATACACCAATTCTTTTTTTGATACAAGCAAATATCTTTTATTTATTTACTTTTATTGTTCAATTACAGTTGTCCCTATTTCCCCCACTACTTTCCCCTGCCCTACCCACCCTCACCTCCCACATTCAATCCTCCCCTCACCCGTTATCTTTGCCCATGGGTCTTTTATACATGTTCCTTGATGTCCCTTCCCTTTCTCTCCCCGCCCCCCACCATTATCCCCACATTCTGGTCACTGTCAGTTTGTTCTTCATTTCCATATTTCTGGTTCTTTTTTGCTCGTTTGTTTGTTTTGTTGATTAGGTTCCACTTACAGGTGAGATCATAAGGTATTTGTCTTTCACTGCCTGACTTATTTCACTTAGCATAATGCTCTCCAGTTTCATCCATGCTGTCACGAAGGGTAGGAGCTCCTTCTTTCTTTCTGATGCATGGTACTCCACTGTGTAAATGTACCACAGTTTATTGATCCACTCATTTACAAATGGGCACTTAAGCTGTTTTCAGCACTTGGTTATCGTAAATTGTGCTGCTATGAACACTGGGGTGCATAAGCTCCTTTGAATTGGTGTTTGATGATGCTTAGGGTATATTCCAAACAGTTTACACCAATTCTTACTTGAAAACTGAAATAAGAATTTCTCTAATTATTGTTTACATAAAGTCCAAGTGGGCTTAAAGCAAGGCAACCTCACTTTTGACAAATGTTTTGCTCTCAGCCACCCTTGGCAATATGTTAGTAATATCACAATGTTTTTTGTGGTTTTCTTAGCCTTCCTTTTTCCTGGGACAGGTACCTACTATGCACCAAATGTACAAGGCAATGGCATATGCAGAATCTTCTCTGTAATTGCGTTTTCAGAATTAGGGTTAAGTAGAACGATTTCTGATCAATCAGATCAGTAATTCTGAGGGTGTAGTTCTAATTTCCAGTTTTTAAATGATTGTCAAAAATTTTGCCAGTTTCAACCACTGTACGTTAGAGGTGAAGATTTTCCAAGCTCCTCACTGTAACATTCTAGAAATTCTACCTTCTAAAGATTTTAAGAAAGTATTAAGATGTCTTCTAGTTACTTACCCAGACAGGTATCAGTCAGAAGTCTAAGACTGTTAACAAGGCATTATATTTTTTGGTAGCCTAACAATAATCAAAACACTATTTCCAAGAGAGAGATATTGGAATTAGCTTGTTTTTGTTTCTTGCATGACAGTTATCTTAAAAAAAATTAAAATCTTCATGTTTAAATTTTCTAAAAAGCATTTTTAACAATTGTATCTTAACTTTTTACAATATGAAAGAGATTATACCTAATTTATTTCTGTATTGTTAAAATATACATGTTACCCTAGCTGGTGTGGCTCAATGGATTGAGCACCGGCCTGCAAACCAAAGGGTTACCAGTTCAATTCCCAGTCAGGGCACATGCTTGGGTTGCTGGCCAGGTGCCCAGTAGGGGGCATGCAAGAGGCAACCCCACATTAATGTTTCTCTCTCTCTCTTTCTCCCTCCCTTCCCCTCTCTAAAAATAAATAAATAAAATCTTTAAAATATATCTACACACACACACATAATATTTTGGTAAAATTTAAAGTAATAAAAATCTGAATAAAATATAATCGATTACTAGGAAGGGTCCAGATTTGATAAAAATATAAACTTTTTTGTGTTAGACTGAAAACAAGTAAACAAAATTTATGATTTTATACCACATATCTATTCTTTTTAAGAAGAATTAGACTAAAACAATAAAAGCACTATGTATATGTTTATCCTATGTTTTGCTATGTTATGTTTTGAACAGATATCTATGAAAGCATTAAGAAAAGAGAAACTCATGTAAGATAAGATTTGACAAAGAGGGTATTTTTGGAATGGAGAAGAGAAATATTTGAAGTTGAGAGATTAGATCTAAAAAGGCACATAACTGAAAAAGCACCTAATACATCCATGAAAAAGCAAGTGGCCAGACTGTCAGGGATAAAATTTTGAAATAAGGTGGAAAAATTCAGTTGATGCTATTGTGAAGGGTAAAAGACTGTGAAATTCATCTACCAAGTAATCTGGGAAATGATTTGATGAAATCTACATATGAGAAATACAATTCTGTAGGCAACATAAAAGATGAAGTTGTGACTACAAGAGAAAACAAATGGAATGCAGAATCATCATTTAGAAGTTGGGTGCTTTTAACCCCACTATGTCTGTATTGTACACCTTGTTTCTCACCTAGAGAAAGAGTTCTCCTTTTGATATTGAGATGAGATATTTTCAATAAAAGATGATATTTGTTAGAATATGTGTTAACTTTTAGATTTCTCTTCTGAGTCATTTAAATATAATTTTAAAATATATAATGTTAATGCCTATATTACAGCATGAAAAAATAAACACAAAATAATATAAGAGAAATAGAAGAAGGAAAACACTTGGTACCAGTCTCTGACTGTGGGGTCCCTGTTCAGGTGCCAAGTGAGGGGAGGGTACCCTGTCCCACAGAATGCCCCCGGATTGCTACAGATGAAGAAAATAACTCATTTGAGACACTTTTGGTCTGCCAAGAAAAGGGGGTGGAGATTCCTTCTAGTGGAGAATTTCCCAGCCCTTTTCTTGAAGTGGCTTTTATTGAGAATATGTACAGGGGTATACAGCATGCATGCAAAGCTCATCAATCAATGTCAAAGACTATATTTACAGAAAACAGAGTGAAATCATAGATAACAATTCAAGGAAAACAGAGATTTGCCTCAGATCAGGGTCTGGTAGACAGGGTGGCACCCATTCAGTCCTGAAACCTGAGAAATTGATCTCATCCTATGCTCGACCCCAAACATCAGTATTCATTCACTCAAGGGCATTCTTGACAAAGTAAGTTTCATAGGCTTTAATGCATTCCTTTTCCAGGCCTAATTGTCCCTGGGAACCAACTAATCCAGTTTAGGGCTATACCTGCCTTTAGTATTGTTTCACTGACCAGGTCGCACGAGTGGAGCAGAGCCTCCAAAAGATAAGGAGACTTCCTTCAGATAGAATGAGGACTCTGGCCATGACAAAGCCGAGGGGTGAGGATCTTCTGCCCCTTCTCTGTGTCCCGCAAGTCCTTCTATGATAGCCCCTATGCAAGTGTGCCTGTCTTAGGTTGCTCCTGCCATTGAGTAGTCTTACCTGGCATTGACTAACCAGCCATCTTCCAGGGCCAAGCAAGGTGATGTGAGGGGCCCTGCCAGGGGGATAGGTTTTGTCTCCTTAGTGGCCTATTTTCCCAAGGCCTCCTTGCTCAGCTCCAGCCTTGGAGCCCTCTCACCTGTTGCCAAAGCTATAGACCCTGAAACCAGGTGGGACAGTTCCCAACATCTGACACTAGCTAAGTTCTTGAAAATGCTTCTTCGGTAAGCTGGGTCCTGTTTTTCATTATCCATAAAACAAATAGGTTAATTAAGACTTCAAAAGCCCCACTCAGATTTAAGTTGAACATTTTATTACTACTTTCTTAAATTCACTATTAGAAAATTGTACAAGTCAACTTAGTAGGCTTATTCATGTAAAATATTTTACTTTACCCAAACAGAAGCAAATAAATCTTTGATACTGGTTCCAGATTCCTGATCTTTATTTTTCTTATCCAAAAAAGGAAGCTTTTTGGGTTTCCCAGTTTTTATCTTTGTTGTACCTAACATTAACAAGCAAAAGAATCTTGACATATTCAAATAACAAAAACATATATATAAGCACACATACACATCCTAATAAACTTAGTTTTTCTTAGAATGCCAAGTGAGTTATGTTTGAACAAGCTAAAGTCAATCTAATTAAGTAAAAGCTACATTTTTCTAACAGTACTGTCCTAAAGAACATTCTGTTATAATGAAAATTATCCATGTCTGCACTGTACAATACTGCTGCCATTAAACATTTGAAATGTAGCTCCAATGACTGGGCAAATGAATTTTTAACACAATTTAGTTTAAAATTTAAATAGCCACATGAGGCAAGTTACCACAGCATTTGACAGCATAGACCTAAAATATGAAAGAGTAATCTTTGATATTACTAAAAATATTTTGTGCCAATGAAATGTACTACCATTAAGAGAATATTTGATTTATCTAATGTTACGTGTATTTTTTTAATGTTTTTAAAAGAATTTGAATAGTTATCATTTTATCTTACAACAGTTCTGTGAGGTAGTATGTGTATTAAATAATGTTAGGTAAATAGATGTAAATATGTTTATGTCTTTGAGAAAACTGGTGAACGCTATATATAAAGGATTTTTTTAAAAAAATAAATGACTAAGAGGAAAAAATGTGGGCTAATAAAAGTCTGGTACTTAAAATAGTATTTAGCCACATGAGGCTTCATTTGTTCAAAGACTATATATCACATGTCCCTGTATCTTCATGACAGAGAGAAACATGAGGAATCTACTGTCCTATAATTTAATGAATTATATCATTACAGTCACCTTGTATATGCTGCGGAAAGCATGACAATGGTATTGATGTAGACCATGCAATAATTGAGACAAAAACAAAACGAATCCACCATGTCTGCAGCCAGTGTTCATTATTAACATTGTCTCTGATACTGTAATAAAAACAAATGAAAAATTTCAAGTTTGTGTATTTTATTACAAACAAAACCATAATCTAACAGAAAAAGAAAAAGATAGAATGAGAAATGAAACATTTTCTCTTAATTTGTCCCTGTGGTTTGTTTTGCTGAGAATGAGTAGTTATGAGTCCTCCGATTACGTATTTCCCTTTTGTCCTCTAGGATACTGAATATTCCCCTTTCCAACTTCTCCCCTGCTCACTCAGGTGGTGAAGACTAATTCTTTGACCATTTTTAACTTTTTTCTCCAACAGAAGTTATGCACTTGGAAGATTATTTCTTTAAACCCCACCTCTCCTTTAAAATCATTCTTGCCCCATTAAACCATGCACCTAGCCCTTTAGTAAAAATACTCCTTTTAAGTTGCACAACTAAACCTTTAAATCACATTTATTATGAACTCTGTTTCTTGTAGTCTCTTCTCTAAGTTCTCAGACTAAGAGTTACCCTTCTAATGATCATAATCATCCTGAGGACCCTTTGTTAAGCCATTGTCTTCTCTCTTCCCTGCAATTTTTCTCACCCCACCTTTATAAACCACGAAGCCTCCCAGTGGGCCAAGTGGGATGGGAATGTGAAGGATCCTATGCTGGGATTTTTTAATTTTCTCTTTTTATTCACAGTTCTTTTACAATTTCAGCATTCTTTGTTTCAAAGAATGATTTTGTGGAGAATTTACATAGTTGTGAAGTTATTTTGTACCGTTTACGGAGGATATTTAGGAAAGTTGATTACTACATTGCTGCCATTTTCTTTAGTATCACACACCTTTAAAACCTTGTCCAACCAGCCATTATGAGAAAATATCCACATCCTTAGGGACTAAAGTTTTGGAGGTATTGGTTTCTCACTAGTGACTCTACTGCCAACAGACACCTGAGGAGAAGCTTGCTTGTAGCAATAGAATGCCACAAGAATTTCCTTGTGGAAATAGAATGCAGAAAATATTCTGTTTTATTGATGGGCCAACTCCTTAGCCATTGCTACATTATTCAGGGATACTAATTCCAAAGTGCAATGACACATGGTTAGAATCTTGACTTCCATTATCCAGGAGACATATGCTATGCTTAAAGAGTTTTGACTCCAGACTGTCACTAGAGGTACATGTTTCCTCATTAATTATAATTTTCAGAAATTTTTTTTGCTTTTGAACCCAGCTATATATATATATATATATATATATATATATATATTATAGTTATAGTTATAGGTATAGTTATAGTTATTATATATTAATAATATATAATATATAATATAACATTACATATTAATGTTATATATATAACATTATATTGCATATAATATTATTATCAGATTTATGTAAGTAGCCAAGTACTTAATTTAAGGAAAATAAACTTTAAAAACTACAAAGTATAAGCAAATAATTGAATAGTGTAACACATATAAGACAAACTTAGAAATCAATAATTTGCTCCTACTACAAATAAAGGATTAGCAAATGCAGTAATACAAACATTCCACGCACAAAACTAACAAAATATATAAAGTCAGTAGGAGTAAGCTTAATAGGATATCTTCAATAAAGAAAATCATAAAACTCTATGAGGGCATAAAAGAAAAGCAGAGAAAATAAAGCTACATATTGCATTCTTGAATGGAAAGATAATAATTATTCTCAATTTAACACATAAATTCTAGTAATTCAAGTAAAAATGCTTTAATTATAACCTGAGATTAACAAATATTTCTGGAAAGTAATTTTACAAAAAGAGCTCCTGATACTTAATGGATAATAATGAGTAAGGACTTATTCAACCAAATTGCAAATCATATGGTAAAGCTTAGTTATCAAATATAACTAGTTATGTTTAGTTAACTTAGTTATTATATTTAGTTATTAAAACACTGTAATATTGACATGAAATAGAAAAATATATCAGAATAAATAAGAAAAAAATCATATTTATAGGGAAATTTAATACATGATAAAGATGGTATTTAATATCAGTAAAAAATAAATTAATTTTAAAAAAATAAAATGATCTAAAATGTCATTAGAACAACTAGATAGCCCTTTGAGAAAAAAATAAAATATTGGTCCATGCCTTGTATTATATGCAATAGTAAATTGAAATTTGAAGTTAAATTTAAGTGTACAATCAAAACCAGACAAGGATACTATAAGAATAGAAAATGAAAGGCAAATAGTCCTGACGAACATAGATGCAAAAACCTCAACAGAATCTTAGCAGACCTAATTCAACAAAATATTAAAAGGATCATACACCATGATGCAGTGAAATTTATTCCAGAAATGCAAGAATGGTTCTATGCCCACAAATCAATCAATGTGATAATGAAAGATAAAAATTATATGGTCATGCAAACTGATGCAGAAAAGCATTTGACAAAATTCAAAATCCATTCATGATAAAAACTCTCAACAAAGTGGGTATAGATAAAACATATTTCAACATAACAAAATCCACATATGACAAGTTCACAGCTAACATCATAGTCTATGGTGAAAAGTGGAACCTTCTCTTCTAAGATCAAGAACAAGACAAGAATGCCCACTCTCCTCATTTTATTCAACATAGCACTGAAAGTACCAGCCAGAGCGATTAGGGAAGAAGGAGAAAAAGGAAGAGGAGGAGGAGGAGAGAGAGAAGGAGAAGGGGGAGGGGAGATGGAGGAGGAGAAATGGCATCCATAACAGAAAGGAATAAGTAAAGGTAGCTTTTTTAAAAAAGATATTATCGGTACTATATACAGAAAACCCTAAAGACTCCACCAAAAACACCTGTTGATGGCACCAAACCATGGTACCATTCCATCAAGCCAGCTACTTCTGGATAACGGAGGCAGAGAGTAAGACCAGTGAGTTCTAGAGTTATCATACTGTCACACTTTCTTTGTCTTATCGTATGTTCCCTAATCAGAGACAATACTGTGTGAGAAACCACAGGGATGGATGTGCTTTATTAAGACAAACAGGACTACATCAAACACAAAAACTATGCAGCATTTCTCTGATGATTAGTGACATTGAACATCTTTTCATGTCTATTGTTCTCTTTGAAGAAGTGTCTTTTCAGATCCTTTGTCCATTATTTAATTGGATTGTTTGTTTTCTTTGTGTTGAGTTGTATAAGCTCTTTATAGATTTTGGATATTAACTCCTTATCAGATGTATCATTGGTGAATGTGTTCTCCAGTTCAGTAGGTTGTCTTTTCATTTTGTTAACCGTTTCCTTTGCTGTGCAAAAATTTGAAGTAGTCCCATTTGCTTATTTTTCTTTTGTTTCCCTTGCCCAAGAATATGCATCAGAAAAAAATATTACTTGAGAAATGTCTGAACACACAATGAAATATACTGATGATGTATTATGGAGTTGTACACTTGAAACCTATATAATTTTATTAACCGATGTGTCCCCCATAAATTCAATAAAAATAAAATAAAAACTACAAAACAAAGGAAACAATCAAGTGAGTGAAAAGACAAGCTATTAAATGGGAGAAAATATTTGCAAATTATGTATCTGACAAAAGGCTAATATCCAGAATACATTTTTAAAAACTCCTTCAATTCAACAACAAACTCTGATTTAAAAATGGTCATACAAACTTGAATAGACATTTCTTCAAAGAAAAAATACTGATAGACAATAAGTATAGAAAAAGATGTCCAACATCACTAATCATCAGGGAAATGAAAATAAAAACCACAATAAAATATCAATTTATACCTGTTAGGATGGCTATTACCAAATAACAAAACCAAACAGAAAATAAACATTGGCAAACATGTTGAGAAATTGGAAAACTTATGCATTATTGGTGGGAATGTAAAATGGTGCACCCACTATGGAAAACAGTATGAAAGTTCTCAAAAAAAAAAAAATTACCATGTGGCCTAACAATACCATTTTCCATTTCTGGGTATATGTCAAAAAGGACTGAAAGCAGAATCTCGAAGAGATGTTTGCATACCCATGTTAATTATAGAATCATTCACAATAGATACAAGTTGGACATAATCTAATGTCTATTTACAGAAGAATGGTAAGAAAATGTGGTATATACCTGAAATAGAATATTATTCAGCCTTAAAAAAGAATACTGTCATATGCTACAATAGGGGTTAACCTTGAGGACATTATGCTAAGTGAAATGTCAGTCACAAAAAGACAAATAATGCATGGTTCTATTTACAATGAGGTATCTAGAGCATTCAAACTCTTAGAAAGTAGTATGGTGCTTTCCAGGGGCTGGGGAGAAAGGGGAAAATGGAAGTTGTGCAATGTATATAGAGTTTTAGTTTAGCAAGATAAAAAAATTCTAGGTATCTGTTTCACAACAATGTTCATAGAGTTAACACTACTATACTGTATACTTAAAAATGGTTAGGGTGGTAAAGTTTATGTTACATGTTTTTTACCACAATTTTTATAAAAACTATATGCAAAATTAGCAGTTAGCTTTCCATTATAAATGGTGTTTTTAAAATTATATTTCAAGCAGTAATGGTAAAAATGTACATTTTAGATGTTTTTGTATATACATATATGTGTATATCAGAAAAATTTACATATTTTTTCTAAAAATATGGTTGTTAAATTAACTGTATATATTTATAAGCTAAAGAGTCTAATAAATATTTTACAAAATGTAGACAAAAAGGAAAGAAAATAGCTTACATTTTATCAGAAGTACTCCTCTCAGCAGTCTTAATGAGGGGTGCTCCTATTGCATAACCCAAAGCATATCCAATTGTTACTGAAGCTTCCAAAAGGCCTATAAAATGAATATTGAACACCAAACAACTATATAAGCCAGCTTTGTCATAATAAAAGTCATGTCGCCTAAATGAATTCTTTGTGAAAGTTTCATAGTACCTTTTATTAGTCAAGATTCTCCAGAGCAGATAAATGCAAGAGCACTTTTAAGGAACTGACTTGTGCAATTGTGGCTGGCGAGTCCAAGTTTGTATGCCAGGCTGGCAGGTTGGAAATCCAGGTTAGAGTTAATGTTATGGCCTTGTGTCTCTAATTAAGTCTGAAATCCACAGGGCAGGCCAGCAGGCTGGGTAAACTCAGAGTTTCTCCATTGCAGTCTGGAGATAGATGTATTTCTTATTTGGAAAACCTCAGTCTTTGTTCTAAAGGCTTCAACTGACTAGATGAGGTTTACCCACATTATGGAGGGTAATCTCCTACTCAAAGTCTACTGATTACAACTGTTAGTCATATCTAAAAAACATTACAGAAACATCTAGACTGGTGTTTAACTAAACAACTTGTTGTTACAACTAAGCCAAGCTTACACATAAAATTAACCTCCATACATATTAGCCAATGCATGTATTAGAGAAACTCAGCTACTTTAATCATATAAGTCACTGGACCGTATTTAATCTAAATATATTAATATTTAATATAAATATAAATATCTTTATTTAATATAAATATAAATGCAATATCTCTTTTCATTTTAATTTGTGGTACTAAAACAAAATGATACTTTATAATGATACATTATTATCACCTTTGTATCTTTCATCTGAGCTGCCAGAGTGACAAGATGTGGCAATAAAGTAAGCTCCTCTCTGTGGTGTATAGATGTGTTCTACTACTCAGTAGAACCAAAAGTAAAACAAAGATATTTGTTTCCTCCCTCACATGAGAGTAATACATCATTGCAATTTTTTTAAAGCGTATATATATGTGTGTGTGTGTGTCACATATATGTATATGAATATCATCTATTTTAGCATATTGGCCTGACTTTCCTTATCTCTAATGAAAAAGATATTATTTTGGTACAAAATGCTATTTTCTTTGAAGTCATCTTCACAAAAAGTATAGAAAAACAACTTCAATTTTTCTTTCAAAACAGGTAATTAGATAACTCTGTACAAATAGATGATCTAGCAGGATTAGAAGCTATTGCAAATACATAGATTATTCTGAGATATACCCCAGCATTACTTTTGTAGGATAGAGTAGCCTAAGACTGTATAAATGGAGGATACTACATTGTGGTCAATTAAGTAACATTCTCTCCATGAAGGGATAAATGAGATTGTTTCGATTAACTTCAAAATATAAGAACCCCCCAAAAGACTGAGTTAATGTTTGTAAAGAACTTAGTGCAGTGATGACTGTTTAAGCACCACAGTACTGAAGAGGTATAACACAATGTTTCTCTCCCCTTATGGACATGACTGCAGCAACTTTCCACACGTATCTCCAAAGGTTAAACATGTAACTACTCAAGAAATTCAATTTGGTAATTTTAAGATTTTTTTCCTAGAGAAATGAACTGCAGCCTATATAATTTAATGTGACATATGTGTGTGCGTATGTGTGTGTGTGTGTGCGCGCGCACATATATATGGAAAGAGTACAGTTTTTATTACTTAGGAATGTATTTTTCCTATTGTTCTATATCTTTCAGGATGGCCTTCAGACAATTTGTCTATAATTCCAAATCTCAAGCAGCTCTTCAGAATTAAGCGGCTCAATGTGATTTTGAAGTCAGGCATACAAGTTAGCACTCATTACAATATATTATAAGAGCCAATAATTAGCACTTGTATATCAGCTTAGATATGCACACCAAAATATAGAATCTCAATAAAAATTCAGGATGGGTAAATCATATTAGAAAGGAAAAAAAAACTTGCCTATGTAAATACCAGTTGAATGTGCAGCAACGCTGTCATCAAGAAAGCTTACTCCAAGGGTATAAAGAGGCATTCCTGCTATTCCCTGCACAATCTGCCCAAGGAGGAAGAAAGATGCATATTTTGATGGAAATGATAAGGGTTTCTGGCAAGCTCTGACAACCTTCGTCTCTTTGCAAATATCTTTGAAGAGAGAATTATAATTTTTTTGTTAAATGGGTCAAAACTTATACAACAAATACACAGTATCTTTTATAAAATATTTTACCTTTTACAAGCGATAACCAAGATGACATAAAGATGACATAAAGGAAGCTAGATTGTACTATTTCTACTCCCATGGCTCCTGATGAGTGCTAATCAAGTAATTTTTTTAATATGTCTCAAGCAGTACTTCCTAACTTCTCATCCTTTCTGGCCAGGACAGAATAAAGGGAAGAATAGGAATGATGTGATTTCATTCCCTTCTTTCAATAAATCACCTTCTAGTTCAATTAGCTGTCCATTCCCAAATAAAAGTATATTATAAACATATTCTACAAATTAATGAATCTACTTATTTGAAATATATTTATAAATATCTAAATGAGGCAGCCCTCCCATTTTGAAATGGTATGAGTAGCTAGAAAATGTCTGATCTTTTTTGTGTGTGTTAAGATTTTTTATGTTTGTGTTTGTGCTGTATGTGTGTGTTCTGAAGCCAAAATTAAAGGATTAATTAAAGCATATTGTGGAAAACATAACTACTAAAGTTCTCAAGAGACTTAAATATAGAAATGGAGAAGAGAAAAACAATTTCACAAAATAATTTTCACAAAGTAATTATCACAAAATATTATTTCTTCTTCTTAGCCCCACCTCTTTCATGAAAGGGTATAGGATCATGAGAAGTTGAGAGAATGGATGGATATATATTACTAGAGAGCTACAATTATTTAGTGTAATAAACTTGATCATATAAATAGATAAAGATGGATGGATGTATGGACAGACAAGTATCATAGTCTATTTTAAGTTCCTAGAGATGATTTAAATGAAAAGTGATTTTGAAGTATGAGATTATCACTTAAATCTTACCTTCAGTTTCTATATTCAGCTGATAATTTTCACCACTATAGTAAGGAAAAGCAAATAAAAGTGATCCAAATCCTATTAAAAAGGAGGAAACTACAATCCATCTTATCGTGTTTCCTCTCCCTCCATAGTATGATATAAACACCACTACCAGACAAGATGAAATATCATAACTCAATGACAACAGCATACTCTCAGTGGTTTTCAGAAGAGCGCCCCTGTGAAGCGTATCAATGCTCAGATCTACAAGACCAAATATAATGCCTAAAATATAAAAAGAAAAAAGGAAGCAATAACAGGCATTTTAAGGACAAAACATATCACCATTACAAAGCAACACTTATTTTACTGTGATTTAGATTTATTTCACATTATTCTGAATGTTTAAAATTTATAAGGATATAATGATTCTTTTTTTAAAACACTAATAGGCATTAACCTCTAAGAAATATTTGCAAATGGAATTATTGCGAACAGCTATTTTTAAATACTATATTCATGAGTAATTTACTGAATATGATTTTTATCACCTTGGCACTAACATTTATTTTGATGTATTATATTTCAATTATATGAGTAAAAATGAATAAACAGTAATCTAATATCTACCATCCAGAACAGAAAATGTTATCAAAACAGTTTTAAAAAATAGTCAAAGCCCAATGTGTACTCCCTTAACATATTCTTCTTTCTCCCTCCATAACCCATACCCTGTACTTGAAGTTCACCATTTCCTACGCATCTTAACACTTTTTTGACAGTGTATACATCCTTGAACAATATGGAGTATTGTTTGTTATGTTCTTGAACTTTAAATAAATGCTTGCTCAACATCCAGCTGGGAAAAAATAATCATACTAAATTATTTTTTCAGGAAATTGGCATAGAGTTGGTTACAAAGTAATGCATTTGTTGGATTGGAAAGGGGAAACAGTTGCTAATCAAAATGGATATCTATGCTACCAAAATTGCTGGAACCTGGGCAGCTGGAGGAGCTGCTGCTGCTACTGCTGGACCTCACTTCACTATCTTTTTCAGAAAACCAGGACCCACACTCTTGCTAATGCAGAGAGTTGGCTCACAATCACCTGTTGCTCCTGCTGCTCTTCCAGTTACCAGAGCCAGAGCCCATAAGCACTGTGCTGCTGAATCATCTACTGTCGCTGCTGATAGAGCTACAGTGGTTACTGACCTTAAATCCTGGAGCCTTCACAACCCCAGGATTACTGTTGCTGCTAAGACTACCAGAAGAAACAGGGAGCAGAAAGCAAAAACTAAACAACAACAAAAAAAATGGCTTCCCTTTGTTCCTTTTTCAAATCTATTGCCACAGCTTCTCACTGGTAACACCTAGGTGAAGCCAGCTGGCAAGGGAATCTGGGAAATACAGTTTACAGGCTGCCAGTCTTCTTGCAAACAGGAATGAGTACCGCAGGGGAACAATGGAGTTCATGGCCAACAGACAAACAACTCGCAAAGTTCACATTTTATACCACTCAAGATACGTCTTCCTATATTTAAATTTATATAACCAATTATAGCAACAACAACATCATGCATCTTCCTAACATGTTTCAATTATTCTTACAAAGACCTTGTTAGTCGTTTCCTAAAAAAGGGAGATACATTGTCCAATCAGTCACAATATACATATCAAGGTAATGCTAATTCTTCTAGTTCAATCACAAATATAGATTTTTTTTAAACATAAAAACTAAATCGCAAAGGTATAAATGAGGTAGGGACACCAGACTCTGGAGATCTGAGGGTCCCTGTTCCAGGGGGCCATCTGTGGTGGTGGAGCACAGGGCTCCTGGATCTGAGGGTTACTGTTCAGGGCCAGCTGAGGTGGGCTCTGATTCCGCAGAGCCCACCCTGGGGTTGTCACGGATCGGGGGAACTAATAAATCATTCCAGACACTTCTCTGTCTGTCTGCCAGGAGAGGGGCATGGCTGGCTCTTCCCTCTAGTGAAGAAGGCCCCAAGCCCCTTTGTCCAAAGGCTTTTATTGAAAAAGTTACCAATGGGACTAGGCAATAGGAATGTACAGGTGGTCCCACTAAAAAATTAATTAAAAAAAATGGCTTCCCTTTGTTCCCTTAATATGTTAATTAATTAACATATTAATTAATTAATTAATATGTTAATTAACATATTAACATCAATATGTTAATGTTTACAGAGAATAGATGATGTTTTGAAGAAAACAAATGGCAAGAACACACCAATTTACATGGGTCCAAGAGGAGGTGAGTAAACATGAGAGTGTAAACATAAGAGCACCAAAGGGTTTAGGGTTGGGGTCTGTGAATAATGTAAATTTCCTTCCCAGCAAGAACTAATTATCATAGCTTTTGGGGGAAGAACAAAGCATGCTTTAAAGAATTTACTTCTAGGCCTGATTTCCCCTGGGAACTGCCAGATCCTATTTAGGGCTATCTCCAGTATTGCTTCAAGCCTGAACCAGGTGGGGGGAGGGAGCTGCCAAGAGATAAGGAGACTTCTCTCAGATAGAATGGGGACCCCGGCCATATCAAAGCCGAGCCAAGGGGTGTGGACCTTTTTTCCCTTTCTCCATGTCCCCCAAGTTTTTTCCCTGATGCTCACACACCTGTGCCTGTCTTAGGTTGCCTCTTCCATCGAGGGATCTTACCCGTCATTGACTAACCAGCCATCCATGTGGCCAAGCAGGGTGGTATGAGGGAGGTAGGGGCTGTGCCCCTGCCATGGGGACAGGCTTCATCTCCTCAGTGGCCTGTTTTCCCAAGGCCTCCTTGATTAGCCCCAGCCTTGGGGCCCTCTCACCTGCTGACGGGGCTACAGTTCCTGAAACCAGATAGGGCATTTCCCAACAATAAAGGATATAAATAAATAATTAAGCAAATATCCAATAGGCCTAACTAAATTTGTGAGGGAATTTTATTGCAAGACATCATAAATCCAACTTAGAACCACAAAAATTTAACAGACCAAGAACAGCAGGAAACTTCACTGCATCCAAAAGAATTTTTTTTCAACTCCCATTTTATTTTATTTATTTATTTTTTAACAACTCTCATTTTAGATGTGGCCAAAGATAATGGCCAAGGCAAAAAATGCCCTGTCAGTAACGGTGTCCATCTCTGTGGTTGGGGTATTAATTCCCCTTCTAATTCAGAAATATTCTGTAACATAGAGATGAAATTGTAAAGTTATAGTCTATGATACTCCTTTATGAAATAATAAGGGCAAAGGATGAGAAAAAAGTAAAAAATTGGAATATACACAGAAATGTATATATAAAAACCAAGAAAGTGAAAAATGTACAGTTGCAACAGCTTTTATTTCTCTAAATGGTTATGAGACACATTGATATTTATAACTTCCTTCTTCCCTATTCACTCGCTCTTCTACCTCTCAATTCACATAACATATATACATTATTACAAAGCATACACTTAACCTTATAGGATAGCATCCCAAACTTTTGGTTGTTGTCTCCTAGCTGGAGCCCTATCTGAGTCTTCAGTAGGACATTGTAATTATCTACAAGGCCAACAGTTTCTCGCTATTGAGATATGTAGTAAGAGCAGTGAATTCCATGAACATGAACTCTCTAAATGTACTTCTTTTGCTATAAAATGAATTTCTTTATTAAAAGCAATGTGATAATGAATAAGATGATCATGATGGTATATAAGGCATTCATTAAGTCCAATTATAGTTGTTTTGGCAAAAATATGATGATAAAAGGATCTGTATCCAAAACAAATACCTGTTTCAGTGAGAAGAAATTATTGCCTACTCCATAATAAAATCAGATGATGCAATCAACTTGCCTCCAAGTAGCTGGCTGATTTCATCAGGAAATGGAGCCATTTCCTGGATTGTGTTGACTCTTTCTGGTTGGCAAGTCAGGCGCTCAGCAGTGCAATAGCCAGATCAGCTCCAGTGAAGATAAATCCATGCATTCGGCTCTTGCATAAACCCCATCCTTAATGTAATTGAGCATGACCCCATTGAACAAGACATGCAATGACTGGGAAAAGGGGCCAGCTAATATTCACCAGATGGCTATCTATATACCTCATTACTGAGAGCTTCCTCTGCAATGGACTTTTTTGGTGAATATTTTTATAGGATAACTCTGCCCATTTAGAGATACTACTTACCTGGCCCTCCTAGTCACTATTGGACAATGGCAGCATGGTATCCAGGAAATGCAGACAATCCAATTATATTGCTCAACGTTCTGCCCACTGTGAGGATTTCCTATTTGTTCAATTTTTCAGAGACACCTCTGAGTGGGACTTTTATGTTACAATTGCATAATTCCACCTTGAAAAACCATAGGCACAAAAGATTGTTTCTTTTTTAGTAATGATTGGTACATATGAAGAAACTTTTCCTATACGTTAGAGGAGTTAGCCCTGCACACTCTGAACCAATTGATCCCTAGAGACGTCATTGAAGTGGCAGGCAAATTTTGGATGTTTAAGACATTATTCACTTCATATTAGTCATCCTGGGAAGGCTGGGGTCTGATTCTAGTTATGAGTCCTACAGCAATAAGGGGTAGTGGGGTGGGTCATGAAGGCAATCAGCATTCCCTTAAGTCAGGCGAGATAAATTCAGTGTCTTCAAGCAAAGAATTGCTTTTTCTTCAGTTGTAGGAGGAAAAGTTGTTCCTACTAGGAAAGGAGATTTGGAATTTCAGAATTGATGGTCCTCAGATTCATTGAATTCCACCCAAATGCCTTTATCCCAGTTCTCAGGGTTCACTCCTCTCCAATCAATGCCTCAACTCTCACATAAGTGATCTCGTGAATCCATGCATTCAACTTGTATTGTAACTCTTCAACCGTGAATTAGGGTTGGGACTATTCAAAACATGTAGTATGTGGCTAGAAGTGATGAGATTGTCTTACAACCATCAGAGAAACTCACATGTTTTCTAATTGTGTCCTAAACTCATTTTCTTTCTGTAAACTTTCCAGAGCAGTCAGAAGGAGTCAGTCAATCAATCCCAGAATCTTTGTAGTATAAAGTTCCACCAGAGAAGTCAGTTGCAGAAGCTATTGGTCTCCCAAAGTCTTGCCTTCAATAAGAACTTTATCTCAGGCAACATATTAAGTAACTCTTTTGTCAGTATAAGCCATGGACTTCCCAGTGTACCATTTTCAACAGGCACAAATATTGTTGTTTTTGCTGCTTTCAAGCCCAATTATGTCAGATAACCAATCCAGATTCCTACCTTTCAGGGATGGTTTGTTTTTCCCTGGTTTGATGCTTGGTATAAAGTACTATAGCAAAAATTATACGATTTTTATAATTTATAGATAAATTAGTTTTATTACATTGATGAAGCTAAAAGTTAGACAAAAACTTTTCAAACATCTTTATTTCTCATAATATTTTTATAAGGAATATTATTTGATACATACTTTAACCAATTTCTTAGCCATGTTTATCTCTAATAAAATGTTATTAATATTTTCTTGAAGAATATATATTTTAATATGATCTTATTTCTAACAGTTCTCATGAATTTAGCTGTGATTCATCGAAGTTGCTTTTTATAGTTTTGCAGCAAAGGTTGACTCAGCAAGCCTCGGTTGCTCAAAAAAGACCTATGTTTAAGACTGACCTTTGGCTCCTGGAAAATGAGCCCTCAAATATTCTGCCTGTTAAGAGTGCTTTTAGATGCCTGAAGCCTTGGGCCACACAGTACCAATTGGATCAGATAGTTTATACTAACAAGGTGATTTAAGGTGAATATCTATTGTATGCTTGAGGCTGTATCAATCTGATTAACTTATGTTAGCAATATATTTATGGTGAACACATTGTTTGGTGTGGGAGGGGGTGGTTTGGAGGGTAATGGAGTCTGAGTAGCTAAAGTCAGTCACATAGATTCTGCATGCCTACATGATTGACCCTGCCCCAGAAAATCCTGGACACTGAGGCTCATGTGAACCTCCTTGGTTGGAAATTCTTTGTATGTGCTATTACAAATTGTGGCTGGAAAAACTAAGCATGTCCATATGTCCCCACTAAGACAGGACACATGGAAGCTTGGGCCTGGTTTCTTCTAGACTTCAATCCCATGTGCCTTTTCCCTTTGCTGGTTTTAATTAGTATCCTTTCACTTTAATAAATCATAACATGAATATAACACCTCTCTCTGGGTCCTCAGGCCTTCTGTTAAATCATTCAGCCTGAGTGAGGTGTTGTGGATCTTCAATATAATAGTTAATAAATATGAAGTTTCTTGAGGTCTCCAAATGATTCTTCACTGTAGCTTATAATATTTTAATTGAGAAAACACTTCCTACAATTATATATCTAAGAAAACACTACTAAATAATGTTTCAGTTCTGTTTTGTACTAAAATATTTCAGCTGAAAGTTATTCATAGAATCTTTCTTTGACAAATACTTTTAAAAACTCTCCAATAAGTTGTGTTCGTTTATTATGATTTTAAATGTTTTGCCAAGAATAAATGTAGAAAGCCATAGCCCTTATTAATTTCAGTCCAATATATTTAAAAAATCAATGAAATTCACTATATTAAAATAATGAAAGACAAAAACAACATGAACATCAGAATGAAGGAAATGACAAAAATCCAATGTACTTTCTCTCCAAAGAGGATATACAGACGGCCAACAGAGATATGAAAACATGCTCAACATGACTAATAATCAAAGAATTGCAAATTAAAACCACAATAATAAGGAAAACCATATAATGGTCTCAGGAGATACAGAAAAAAAAAACACTTGATAAAATTCAGCACCAATTCATGATAAAAATTCTCAACCAACTAATAATAAAAGGGAACATCTGCAAACTGATAAAGGGCATCTACAAAAAAACTACTTAACATATTTAATTGTGAGAGGTTAAATGATTTCTACCTAAAATCAATAAAAATAAGTGAACTTCACTTTTTTCATTTCTACTCAGCATTTTACTGGAGGTCATAACCAGTGTAGCAAAGAAAGACAAAGAAAAAAAAACAAAAAACATACAGATTGGGAAGAAGGAAGTAAAACTGCCCCGATTCACAGATGACCTGTAGTGTATGGAACCAGGGACCTTTCACTGTGGGACGACACCTGACCCAGTGGGCCACGCCGGTCAAGGTAAAGCATAAAAATTTCTAAAAGATAACAAAGCAAAAAATCTTTAAGATCTTGATTTAGGCAATACTTTTTTTGATAGAAACCGAAAAGAATAAACCATTAAAAATTAACAATTTGGACTTTAACAAACTGAACACTGTCCTAAACTGGATAGCTCAGTTGGTTCGAGTGTCTTCCTGATGCGGATACACCAAGGTTTCAGTTTGATCCTGCATCAAGGCACATTCAAGATTCAAGCAAAGAATGCATCAATAAGTGAAACAACAAATCTCCCTCTTTCTCCCATCAATCAGTAAAAAAAAAAAAAATTTAAATTTAAAAACTGAACCCCCTTTTCATCAAAAAAGGCACAGGTTAAAAAAAAGAAAAACAAATCACACAATGGAGGGAGAAAGGGATGAAGAGAGGCAAACAGGCCGGCAGGTATGCATGGCCTGGGTCTTGTAAGGGAACATCAACCATATCCAGGTTGAAGTTCAGCATAAGGAATAAAAACCCACATATTTAAGACTTGCATGGACATAAGACACAGAAGACAGAGTGAGGGATGAGGAGGAAGTGTCGCAGATTAAAGGAGTCATCTAAAATATAACAACTAAATGCAATACATGTGCCTGGATAGAATTTTGGGCCAAAAAGGAGAAGGAGACACTAGTGAGACCGTTGGAAACATCTGAGTGGGGCCATCAGTTACAAGTGTGAAGGCAGTGTGCACTGACAGTCCTGACTTCAGGGCGAAGGGCGGTTAGAGAGGGGAGTGTCCTCCTTTTGGCGAGATGCACACTGGGGTATCAGCAATAATGGGACACCATGTCTGAAAAAATCTGTATGTATAGGGAAAGAAAAGGTGAAGGAACAAGAGCGATAAATGTAAACAACTAGAGAATCTGGGAGAAGGGTGCTCAGGAATTCTTTGCATCCTTTCTGTATGTTTGAAATCATTTCAAAATTGTTTAAAATGTAACAATAAATATATCAATTGATAAATAAGTAACTGAAGAGATATACCACTTTTATGAATGGAAGACTCAATATTATACTTAAGCTGAGCTAATGACCTATATGAAGTCAGTTAATAAGTAGTGGAACTAAAACCATTCACTGTTAACCACTTGTTCAAAAACCTTCAATGGCTCCTCATTACTCACCTAATAAGGAAGTTATGTTAAGTAAGAAAATGCGTACAAAGTACCTTACTCATCACTTAGTACGTTAGTGGGAAGTCAACACCTTCTAATGTCTTTTCAAAATTCTCCACCTAGTATTTAAATACCTTCATAACATTGCCACAATTTGTCTTTTCCTTTTTTATTTATTTATGTATTCAACACATATTTATTGAGTGTCTTTTCTGCCTCAGCTACTATATTAGGTCCTGGTGGGGTGGAGGGATAATAAATAAAATAAATATAATTACCCTTTTTGTTCTTAGGTAAAACCATCACCCAGCCAATTCTGTCATTCACCATTCTGAAAAAAGGCTTTCATGTATCTGACCATTCATTTATCAAAACATCCCATTTATTCATTCATTTCTTTATTCAATAAATATCCCTTAACTACCTCCCAGGATATCAGATCTATACCTATTTATCAAGGCATAATTCAAATGCTTCTTCTTCAAAGAAACGTCTTTGATGATCTCAGGAAAAATAAACTGATGACCATGTATTTGCTCCTTTCATATGATTCTAATCACATTTTGTCCTTTTTAATTGCGCTTATTTAGACATAGCATTTTAGACCAAAAAAGAGATCATGTTCGGCAAACTCCAATGCCATCAAGGTAAACAGGCTAGTGATAAAAGAATCTAAGTATAATAAAGTGGTGAGGGCCTCGGCTAAGTAGGGATTGCAGGACCCTCTAAAGGCATTCAAATTCACGTTCTTCAAACTGTGTGGGCAAAGATAAACACCCTTGAGTCTGGGTTCTCCTATATAGATTGTTTGACGTTCCAACTCTCCCTCCTCAATTCACACTCAATGAAACAAGATCCAGACAGAAAATGACTTGGCCAGTGTGTCTCAAAATTGTGGGCCAAAGCAGGAACAACCTGGTGGTCACAAATAATTGTTTTCACCTTTAATCCCCTAAGTGATTCAACCCTGAGCTTCTCAGTATCGGTGACCAAAAACCACTAATGACTCAGTACTACTGTCTCCAGGTGTCCATCTGGAGGCCAAGCCCCTATCGCCCACATTGTTAGGGGTAACTGTGTCAATAAGGTTTTCCATGACAGAAGTCCAAAGCCACGGTAGCAGCCCATTTAGCAAGCGTTTATCCTAGCCATACCTAACTGTACCTCGAGAACGTCAGCGGACAGCTGCTTCAAGCTGGACCACCTGGTCCCTCTCCTGCCTCCCCCACCTACACACCTTTCCCTCTCCCCCACGCCCTCCCCCGCAGGCTCACCCTGAGAAAACAGCAGGATGCAAAACAAAATCAGAAAGCAGTGGAAATTATTACATCGCTGACATCTGGGAAGAACTATATAGCCGAAACCGCAGGACTTCTGCAAATTTTCATCCTGTTCTCTCTGCTTCTTGATAATGGGGGATATGGCCTTACTTTTGCTTCTTTTCTTTTTTTTCTTGAAATTGCGGAATTTGATCACGGTAGTTGAAACCGCCGTGATATACTGGGATTTTTTCCTGGCCTTCCTAGCCGTGCTGAGCGCTGGGCTCCGGGCAGGCTGAGCCTGGGCAGCCTGGGGCTCCACTTGGGCTAGGGCTGCAGACATGGCAGGAGGGCGCCTGCGGAGGCCCGGGGCGTGGCTCACGCTGCGGGGGCGACCTGCTCTGACTCCTCCAACCGACCGGCCCGCGGGCATGAACGTCATGGAATTAGCACCCGCAGTACAAGTCCCTGGAAGAAACGTTCCTTCTTGGGCTGGAGGCAAACGTCCATGCTAGAAGGTTGACAGTTGCCCTGAGAAAACTTCCAAGGCTATTTCCTCTTTGCTTCCACGTGGGAAAGGGAGAGAAAAAAAAGGTACTACTGGATTCTGATAACTGTGAACACAGTAAGAACCAGCGTAACTCTAACTAAGAGAAGTCGTCTTGTTAGGGAGCAAGGAAAGAGAAAGATACAATGATGGGACAGTGAAACTGTGTCCTCCAACTCCCCCAGAAATTACTTTTTGTTTTTTAGAGTTGAATGATCTCACTAGAAACAACCTAAAAACTGTCAAAACCAGCAAAGTTCATAAAACAGTGTTCCAGTGAATGCTCATAAGTATTTTACACATAGAAATTATTATCCTAAAAACTCTATCTCTAGCCAAGAACAGAAAGAATTATTAATTTAGGACCCAGAGTATGATTTACTTTCCCAAGTGCAAAAGTCTTAACTAAAAAAGATATAGGAGAATGGACACAGGACATGGAATGTATGCGTTGTTTATTCAAAAATGTAACTTCTTATTAGTTTTCTTTTCTTAGGCAAAGTATAAGTTATTCAGGCCATGTATGTGGTATGGTGACTTCCCAGGAAAATTGAAACTATCTTCCCTTCCATGGATTAGACATTATATCACCAAAACAATCCAGCTCTTCAACAAGGTTTCGTGCTGCTACAAAGTGCTGGGGCTGGTAGACCAGGACGGAGAAATCACTGAAGAGCTGGCAGAAAGGCCCCACCACTACCCTGAGGCCTGAGCTTGCCTCCCCAGAGCTCTCTGCCCATCAGTGAGTAGAAATGTTCACCTATACTGAGAGACCTAGTGTGTCAAATATCTAAAGGGGATCATTAGTCACTATATAAGAAGGAACAATGCCCTCGTTTTCCCATGTTCCTTTCCTACTTGACTAGGATGCCCCACACATCACTTCAAGACATTAATAAGCATAAAGGAAACAGATCCCAGGAGGTAAGAATGTGGAGGGACTCTTATTTTGTACTTCGACACCAGACTGGGCATGGTCTGAAAGCAGAAGTGTCACAGGTGGGCACAGGTAACCAGGTTCTTGGTGATCGTGGACAAAAATTGAACCGAACACAGAGTTTATAGCAGAAAGTGAGAAAAAGCAGATTTATTAAGCCACACAGAACATGGGAGCAGGCCAACTCTGAGCAGAGTGGGGCAGAGAAGAGGGGAGAAGAGCCTAACAGCAGCAGCCACAGTTGCCGTTGCCGTTGCAATTGCAGTTGCAGTTGCAGTAGTAGCAGCAGCAGCCCCGAACTCAGGGACTAGAGGACTTTTATTCCTTACGGTGTGTCTCCCATGATTTCCTTGATTGGCTACTGGAAAGAGGGTCCCACAATGCTAATTTATTATAATGAAGTAGGGGTCAGGTAGCATCTTCTGTGCAGGTGCAGTCCTGATTAACTATGATTTAATGCTTTTCCAGATGCAGAAACTACCAGATTTAGGACAGGGTCTCTGCCATTTATCCATGTTCTTTATCTTAGCCCTGGGGCACCTTTGGAGTTTCCTCCTTCCTAACTGTCTCCTGCCTCAGAAGGGAAAAGACAGCTCTGTTCAAAATAAATAGCACTAAGACTTTTGCTTCTACTCAGAACATAGAGAGCCAAGTAGATTGTTTACTCCACTCTTAAGAACAATAATCAAAAAGGAAGCAGGGTAAAATAAAATACTATCACCTTTTCTGCCCATCAGAGGGCTATTTTCCAAAGCAACAAGGTAACAACAAAGATAAAATGAATCCAAAGGCTAACAAACTTAGAAAAAAGAACGGGACACACCAACTGTTTCTCCTATGGCAGAGACACCAGGTATTAGACCTGTGGGGTCAGACAAGACCTTGAGTCAGCAACCTCAGTACTTATGTTCGGTCTGGGAAAGAGTTCAGAGCCAAGACTCAAACTGTAAGAGAACATAGAAAATCACAGAAGTAAAAAGAGTGATCTGTAGTAGAAATGAGCTTAGGAAACAAGTTATAGAGGCAAAAGAAAGGTCCCTTAGAGTTTAGGAAAGAGAAGGAGGCAAGGAAAACATGCCTGGGGGGAAGAAGAGAGGGAAGAAGAGGGGAAAGGCGCAGGTGCACTCCTGGGAGGGAGAGAACACTGGGTCTTCCGTTGGAAGGGCTTTTAAGGGTAGGGGTTTTAGGACAGGTCCCACAGAAGGATCTCGATAGAATATCCATTGGCTTTCCAGTTGTGCCCTTTCACGCTGGTGGTCTCCACTGACTGGGGGGCACCCAGGCAAGGCACCATTAGTCAGTGCAGCTGGTCCAGAGGTCATCTATGGCATCCTTGGCCTGTTTTGTTTTGTTTTGTTTTTTGCTGCTTTTCTGGGTGTGGAGCTGAAATATAACCGTATGTTATCTCTGAGGAGGAAAGTTCAGGGGGTCTGTATGACAAGTGATATGAAAGGTCAGGGAGTCTAAACCACTTGACCTGTGATATGCTAGGGAAGGAAGGTCACCCTGGTGGCAAGGTCCTTGTTTTTCCAGTTTTGTCCATTGTTAGGCAGCTGGGCTTTCCAACCAGGTGACCTTCTGTACCCTCCTTGCTCTGCTCAAGTCTGTTTAATTGCCTACCACAATAGCAATCACAAAAGAAGAAAGAAGAAAACACCTGAAATTTCAATGAATTCTTAAAGGCCCAGTGAGGGATAGTATACAGTTTATAAACCCTAGGAACCTCAAAAACAAGGGGAATCATTGCCATTTGACAGGGCAAGAGCACCCTCCCTAATAAAGAATGCATTTGATGGTGATAGGCTTCTACTGAAGGAGAAGCTGCAAGGCTTACTTGCTCACTCTTCTATCCCTAGTGCTGTGTTTCCTTTTAGCATGCAAAGCAAAAGCAGTTCTGCCACTAGGATTGCAAAAGGAAACTTTCCTGCCCCCTGATTATCAGCAAAGATTAGCTGTTACAGGAAGAGGGACAGAGCAAAAGACATTTACCATTAAGGAAGGAACAGGAAATCATACTGCCCTGTAGCCCACCCAAAGGTTGGTTTCCACCAGAGGGAAGGATAGAAATAAAAACCATGCCAAAGAGGGAGGGGCAGGAATGTCTTTCCTTCCCAAGAACCACCACTAAAACAGTCAAAGTTCGACCCTTGAAGCTCAGGCACTCAGGGCCAAAGATTGAGACTGGACCAGAAGAACCTACTTCCCTTATGAGCTCTGCCAGAATTAATAACAATAGTACTCCATCATAGAGCTGATTTAGAACAGATGGAAGCTCCAACTCTGACACAGACATACTAGAACTGCTGCAAACTCTCAAGCATTCAAGGCTTCACATAAAACACACAGTAACTGCAAGACCATTAGAAAAATTTAAGCCTTTGGTGCACTGACAATAAATATAACAACAACAACAACAACAACAACCCAAATCCAACTCTATTTCTGTTGACATCAACAAACCTACATTAATAACCAAAGAAGAATCATCACTTCTAGGTATAAATACATCAGTCTCCAATTTTCTTCTATATACAATGTCTTGAATTTAGTATTAAATGGTTTAGCATATGTACAATTGAGGTAACAGACAGGAAACATGATGTAAAATTATTTGAAGATACAATGGTCACAAATTTTACAAAACTAATGAAATATGTATAACCACATATGCAATAATCTCAGAAAATTGTAAGCAAGATAAATATGACAAAAAGGACACCTAGACATATCATAGTCAAACTACTAAAAATCTAAACTCATTACAATAGTTTCAAGGAAGTCAGAGAAAAGAGAAACAAAACTTGTAGGGAAACAAATTATAGGTACATGTAATTTCTGTTATATGAACAGAAATATATAGGTCATAATACAATGAAACTATGCCTTGAAAATATGAAAAAGATCTCCAAAAATTCTTTATCCAGCGAAATATCTTTTGAAAATGTGTCAAGAACTGTGAAAAATCCTTAACGAAATACCTGCATACCAAATCCAACAACATATAGAAAGAATTATATTTTATGACCAAGTGCGATTTATCCTAGGAATGCACAGTTGATTTAACATCTGAAGATCAATTCATGTAAGGCACAATGTCAGGGGGGCCAAAAAGTTTGTTTGTTTTTTTCTGTAAGATGGGCCTTGTAGCGCTTAGTTGTCTTTAACTACATTTGAAACAATTTTGTTAGATTATATTGTGACAGCTGTCATATCAGTGTACATTTAAAAAAAAAAAAAAACAACTTATTGGTAGGAAGACCACAGCGATGGAGATAGGAGCCAAGTCCACTTGCTTGTGCACCCACCTGGGACACCTAGCCAATCTTCTGAAGATCAGAGTGAACAGCCAACAGAATCCCAGCTGATAAGAAGTTTGAAAGCCCAAGTGTACAGAGGATGATGCTTAATAACAGGCGATAAGGAGCTTTTGTAGGCTTATGGAAAGGCCCTCAGGCCTTGTGCTGGAGACCACAGCTGCCGGGGGAAACACTGGAGAGCCGGGTGAGTGGTAGCTACCTAGCAGCTCCCTCCCGTCCTAGAGCAGGTAACTCCCAGACCCACACCAGGAGAGACCTGGAAGCACAAAGTCGCTGAGGGGATAGAAAGGCAGTGAGTGACACGCAGCCAGTGGCATACCCCTGCTGGGTGGCCATTGCTGGAGAAACTGGGGAGCCGGATGACACCTGGACCTGGGAGAAGAGATGAGCCATGACTGGCCATGACCGAGGTAGACTCTGGACTGATCAGAGAGTTGAGCTGTGTGAAAAGCCTGGCACTTGTTAGGAGTGGCAGGCAGCACCCACGAGGACTTTCCTCAAAACGGGAACTGAGCCACTGTGCAGGGACCCTGCAAGCACAGCAGCCGAGCCAGAGAAGAGGGAGAAGTGTTGGTGCAATTTGCTCCTACTCAGAGCACCTCACAGATTGATCAAAGGAGGGCAAACAGGAGCTTGGAGAG